GTGAGCGGGAATCGAACCCGGGTCGCCGGGTTCGTAGCAGAGTGCGTCAACCGCTGTGCTACGACTCTCCGCTAAGTGCACAGACACACACACACACACGCGTGTGGAACAAATGATTCCATGAGCTGTGTCCCCTGGCAACATTCCCTTGAAGTGCCAGGCGTGGTTTTGAGTGTCAGCCCAGGATGCATGCAGGCTCTGCTTTGCTGCGTGCGATCTTCCATTTCTAATGCACAGCAGAAGAGCACTGGAGAGCTTTATGGTTGAAAGTGCCGGAGGCTCTCACGGACAAAGGCACCTGTGGAACTCTCATGGCTCAGTGTTACTGCCCGAGGCACAACACGGCGATGCCAATATCCCCAAGATTCCTCGGGTTCATCGTTCATGCCCGAGGCTCACAGAACCAGCGTCAGGAGCAGCGGTAGCTGTAGGAAGAGTGGCGGTAGCTGTAGGGAGCTCAGCAGTAGCTGTAGGGAGAGCAGCGGTAGCTGTAGGGAGATCAGCGGTAGCTGTAGGGAGATCAGCGGTAGCTGTAGGGAGATCAGCGGTAGCTGTGGGGAGAGCAGCGGTAGCTGTGGGGAGATCAGCGGTAGCTGTGGGGAGAGCGTCAGTAGCTGTAGGGAGATCAGCGGTAGCTGTAGGGAGATCAGCGGTAGCTGTGGGGAGAGCATCGGTAGCTGCAGGATGAGCAGCGGCAGCTGTAGGGAGAGCGTCGGTAGCTGTAGGGAGAGCGTCAGTAGCTGTAGGGAGAGCAGTGGTAGCTGTAGGGAGAGCGTCGGTAGCTGTAGGGAGAGCAGCGGCAGCTGTAGGGAGAGCAGCGGCAGCTGTAGGGAGAGCGTCGGTAGCTGTAGGGAGAGCAGCGGTAGCTGTAGGGAGATCAGCGGTAGCTGTAGGGAGAGCAGCGGTAGCTGTAGGGAGATCAGCGGTAGCTGTAGGGAGAGCAGCGGTAGCTGTAGGGAGAGCGGCGGTAGCTGTAGGGAGATCAGCGGTAGCTGTAGGGAGATCAGCGGTAGCTGTAGGGAGAGCAGCGGTAGCTGTAGGGAGAGCGGCGGTAGCTGTAGGGAGATCAGCGGTAGCTGTAGGGAGAGCAGCGGTAGCTGTAGGGAGATCAGCGGTAGCTGTAGGGAGATCAGCGGTAGCTGTAGGGAGATCAGCGGTAGCTGTAGGGAGATCAGCGGTAGCTGTAGGGAGAGCAGCGGTAGCTGTAGGGAGATCAGCGGTAGCTGTAGGGAGATCAGCGGTAGCTGTAGGGAGATTAGCGGTAGCTGTAGGGAGATCAGCGGTAGCTGTAGGGAGAGTGGCGGTAGCTGTAGGGAGATCAGCGGTAGCTGTAGGGAGAGTGGTGGTAGCTGTAGAGAGAGCAGCGGTAGCTGTAGCTGCGAGCAGCTTTTACGTGAATATTTGTCTCTTTCATCTCGCTCTGCATCAAACTCCTTGTATCACTCCCTTTGCATCGAACAGCGCTTCTCATACTTCTCCCTCTCGCTCTCCATCTCTCTCCCTCTCTCTCAAGGTTCAGCAAATGCCATTTTAATTAAATTGCTAATGAGTGCTGGTGAAATACCATCAGCAAATATTAATAAAGGGCCCGGTTGCAACGCACTGTTGTGCCCAATCGGTTCACCTCCGGAGGGAGGCCCCCTTTGTTTAAATAATCCTCACCCCACGAACGCGATATAATCAAGTCCCTACGTTTCCACACACACACACACCAAAAAAAATTACACGGCACCGCAAGAAGCGACGCAATCAAGGGGAAGGCGTTGATGCCACACACCGACCGATTCCAACGACGAGGGAGCTCGCAGCGTAAGCGCAACGGACCCAGAGGTGGCTCACGCGGCACACGACGGCTTGTGTCCTAGCACACAGCCTGCCGTGCTGAGAATCTCTGGGTCCGGATTCTGGGCGGCGTCTGGAAGATATATTGGCCTATCATCTTCTTGGTTCTTTCAGTAAAGTCACGTAGAAGGGAAATAATAAAATAATAAAAATGAAACATAATAAAATACAATTCTCACGACGTTTCGGCCACAACGCAAGCAGCCGTCCTCAGGTGAAGAACAGGTCTGTCGGAAAGACAGCGTCTGAATGTCTTTCCGACAGACCTGTCTTTCCGACAGACCTGTTCTTCACCTGAGGACGGCTGCTTGCGTTGTGGCCGAAACGTCGTGAGAATTATGTTATTATGTTTTATTTTTATTATTTTATTATTTCCCTTCTACGTGACTTTACCGAAAGAACCAAGAAGATGAATCCCTGCAGTCACGAAAGCTTTAAATCGAAATATATTGGCCTATTCTTCGCGCGGCCCAGGCCGGACAACTCTCAGCTTTAAGACGTTTTGCCCATTAATTTCAACTGCTTGCCCCCCCCCCCCCCCCCCCGAGATGGAATCTGACCGGTGACCTCTGGATTGCAAGGTCACTTGTGCTGCTAACCATTACGCTGCTGTGGCAGGTCCCTGGAAAGAGTAATAATAGGTTTGTTCTTTTATATAACCAACGAGACGAAATTAAGATTTCGACATTTCGGCTCACTTAAGAGGCCAATTGGCCAAAAGGGTCAAGATCCTCCGTTCTTCAGAGACAGTGAATGAAAAGAAGGTGTTATTGTCTCGAATTAACCTGTTATTCTTTGTATATGTTCACCGAAGCAGAAACTTGATAGCCTGCTGTGGTCATAGCGCTTCACTCACGACCTCAGTGCATTGCTATGAGTTCACATCCCATTGAAGTAATGCTACAGTACACTTCATGACCAATCATCCCTATGGGGTTGATAAAATAGGTACCACTTTGTGGACAGAGTTAGTTGTCTGAGAGAGGGAGATGCCTCACCACCATTGGAGGTTGGGGGGGGGGGGTATATTGCACTAATAAACAAACGCACATCAAAAATACTTTAAATAATTCTTGCACGTGCATATATTCTGGGCTGAAACATCGATTTTTCACCAATAAACCGGGTAATCGTTAACATCCCTGGTTTTCATAACGAGAGCTCACATGAGGACAGGCACCAAAGACTCACGGAGAACGTGACAAAACGTAATATAAATCCTCAGGTCATCACCTAATTATCTTTAACTACCCAATTACCTTCCGCTTTAATATTCTCCACTAACCGTCCCATGGGATCACTGTGCAGCCACTGACAATTTCTGTCTTCGGAAATAAACAAAGGGGCCGCGGGGTCCTCATTTGCAGGATGAACGCGTGCGTGCCGTGCGTAATCACAGAGTTTTGTTTATCTTATTCATGATGACCACTTCACAACCATCATCGTCATCGTCCGGCGGTAAATCTACTGCTGGACGATGATGAAGGCCTTCCCCCAAAGCCGCTGCCGCCACCCATCACGATCGTGCGACGCGACAATTCACGAGGCACCACCTGCACACCAACTGAATTCATCGCTCCGTCTCCCTGGGTGGACATTCTCTCGGATGATTTTCTTTTTCCTTGGCTGCCACTCGACTGACAACTTGCTTTTGTGCAAATTGAGTTACATTTAAAATATCTACCTGCTCAAATTAATGACAGAGGCAGAACGTTAATGTTATTATACTTTTCGATTTAAAGCTTTCGTGACTGCAGGGATTCATATTCTTGGTTCTTTCGGTAAAGTCACGTCTGCTTGTGTTGTGGCCGAAACGTCGTGATAATTTTATTATGTTTTATTTTTATTATTGTATTATTTACCTTCTACATGACTTTACCGAAAGAACCAATAATATGTTATTATACTCTTTGGTTCTTTCGGTAAAGTCACGTAGATATAAAATAAAATAAATCAAGACGTTTCGATCGCAACACAAGCGGTCGTTTTCAGGCCTACAGCACGAAAGCTTCCAATCAAGATCACTGTTATTATTTGTTGACTTACTATTGTTATTTTACCAGGTAAGGCTCACTCGGCTATGTAGCTCTTTCTCAGAAGCGGCCTGGCCACACAGATGATCGCTCAACGAAGCGGCTCATCATCTTTGGAAATTTATAGCAGCCAAATCCTCTAAAACGAAAGTTGTTTCTAAATGTGGAGGGAAAAACTGGAGGACGCCAGAGAAAAACCCACGCGACCACGGGGAGAGAGACACAAACTCCAAATATACAGCAGCAGGCATCAGGGCCGGGATCGAACCTATGACCTCCTGTATACCAGGCGAGATAGTTAACATTCCGCGACCTCCTGTATACCAGGCGAGGTAGTTAACATCTCGCCACTGTGGCGAGAGGCATCCACTGGAAGCCATGAGGTAATGGTGGAAATTCCTCATTACCATGGCATAGGTAAGTCTCTCCATAGGATGACTAAAAAGCTGTCAATACAAAGTGATCCCTTCTTTCTCAGCCCCGAAAGACAGATGGGTTAAATCGTTCGCCAACTAGGATTTGTATTCACTGGCTTCCGACAGTTGATTTGGCAGCCAAAATATTGTAAGTAAAATGAAAAGAAAACGTGTTTTAAAAAATTGTATAAAACCAAGAATTTCAATTAAAAATCATTACGTAACAGACAGACAGAATAATAATGTTGATACCGTGTGGGGAGGCCAGCAGTGGAGTAACGAGACCAAGCACGATTATCACAGTTACATAAAATTACGTTAAATAGCATAAAGGTTTTTAAAAAAACATAATGAGTGCATAACAGATTGACAAGGGGCAGTACATTATTTGTTTCAGTATTTGAAAATATATAAGTAATAAAAAATTATAAATGATTTCGTTCCCACAAACGTAAAACGGAGTTCGTCCAGCCGCTGCAAGTTTTTTTAAATATCCAGAATGTCAAATATTTTTTGGTCCGAATTAATTGGCTATTAAAACGTGCGATCATAGCTCGTGTCGTGCAACAGTGGTGTTTGCATCGGTGTGTACCACCGAGGAAAAGCGCGTCTACCGGGAAACATTTTAATTACGGACGCAAAGGGGCAACTATATTTTTTACATCGATTGTAATCCATTGATTTACGCGAGTTCTTAAGCCTCCCTTACCTGTCCAGTGTGCTCCGTCTCATCTTTATTGATCAGGTACATGAAGAAAAATCTGAAAGACGGAGAAACGCACAACGCATTAATCTTCGTGACTCGTTCGAAACGCGCGAATTACATTTGCAACACACACAACCAACCACCACGTCACCGCCGGCTTGGGGAGGAGACCTTGAATCAGCAGAAGGTTCAGACAGGGCTGTCAATTATTCATGATTATAACAGAAACGTCCATATATGTCACGTGTAATGAAAGTGGAGGTGGGCTCCATGCTCAAAAGAGCAGTGTTTTGTTTGTGTCGAACTTGGAACCGTATCTTAGAGAGAGCGGGCCCTTGCCAAAAGACATCTGGGCAGCTCACCAACATTGGTTCAAGCAGAGCCTGACTCTGCTGATGAGACGCTGAATGTTGAAACCGGGTCCAGAGCTTTGCTTGTGTTGAACCAATGCCGCTGATATTTTTTTTGCCACTCCCAGAAAGCTGTGTGTGGCCGATGGGATGTGTTTAAAAAAAACTACTTAGATTCATATGGAGGGACAGGCATGTGAAGGAAGCGTATTGTGAGACTATTTATTTAGCGTGTGGTGTGTGGGGCTGTTGGCATTCCCGAAATCCATGGTGGAAACTCTTCATTAACGTTGTCATCACCATCACCGATGATTCCTCTGGGGATCGGTAACACAAGCGCCGCCTGATGAATGATGAGGTCCACCGTGCTTGGAAAGCAGTCAACAGCAATTGTTTAAAATGTTTATTGTTGCAATTTTTTATTGCTTATATTTGTAAACAATTAAGAGCCCAATGACAATATCAGGAGGACCTGGGTTAAGATACATTTTCCATACAGGAAAATAAACTTAAACTAAAATATAACATCCTAAGAACCAATGTAGAATTATAGAATTTACATAATTAGGCCATTTCCAGAGATGAGCAGCAGCCAGCCATTAACTTGCGCATGAAGACACTTTGACTGAAATGTTTTATATTTTTGAGGTGGCCGAGTAGCTTAGAGGTCATAGCGCTCAGCTGATTCCTCTGAGACCGTGAGTTCGAATGCCAGGCAACCACCCGTGATTAAAACCAGGTCATCGAGTGTACTGTAGTGAGTTGATTATCTCAGCCTGGTCACCGAGAACTGCGCAAAAAAACCCATCAAATAAATGTGTCTCGTCACTTAATTTGACTAAAATTCTGAGAATTAAAAAATTAACATTGGTTTATCTGTCACGTGACAATTATTACTCTCTCTGGCAGGATGAGTAGGCACGTGCTGCCCCCCTATTGTGCGGACCAGAGATCACTTAAAAAGGTCTCGGTAGTAGTTCTGTGATATTCTTGATTCTTTCGGTAAAGTCATGTAGAAGGGAAATAATAACATAATAAAAATAAAACAAAATAAAAATTCTCACGTGTTTCGGCCACAATGCAAGCAGCCGTCCTCATGTGCTTGCGTTGTGTCCGAAACGTCGTGATAATTTGTATTATGTTTAATTTTTATAATTGTATTACTTCCCTTCTACGTGACTTTACCGAAAGAACAAAGAATATGAATCCCTGCAGTCACGAAAGCTTTCAATCGAAATTTAGTTCTGTGATATCCGCTTCTGTGGGTCATTGTCTTCCATTGAGAGGTGCGCAGCTGTTGTGAGAGATCCGAATGGATTCTTTGTCTCGTGACATAACACCGAAAGCATAATGGTGATAAAATGGTAATAACGCGACATTTTGTTATCATTCTCATTTTTACACGCCATACAAACAAGACAACGCCCTGATGTACACAATGGCACATGTATAATATAATGGACAAAAGTAGAGCTATGATTGGCATTGTCTGCACAATGACAGGGTTGAAATAGGGTTTGAAAGTCAAGACAATTCGACTTGAGGTCTTGACGAGAAAAAGTGTTGTAATTGCACACTCATTACGATGTCAATATCCTGCTCATTAATGGCAAACGGTTTATACACACGGCACAATGTGATGAGTATTTCGGCTCTGCTACGATGCCCATCACTCACACGCACATCTCCTGAGCGCGTTCATGATCCCTCGGGGGTAAAACTGTGAACATTCCATTGCCCCTGCGTGCCACGTCAGTACATTTTTTTTTACGTACCTTTCTGTAATATCCTTTTTCAAATTATGTCTCAATTAACTTTCAGCATGTCCTTGTTTATCCGGGAAAGTGTCACTCAGAACTTTCATTTTTGAGCAAAGGTTCCGCATGAGTGTGTACCCAATTACTTTGCAAGCATTTTGCGGGTGACCGTGTGTGTGTGGAGCTAACAGCACTTGCCTCAACAGTCTGTTCAGGCTATACAGGGGATCTTTGTCTTTTTGTGGAGCAGTAGGGTAGTGGTTAGCGCGCTGCGTTACAAACCCGGCAACCCGAGTTCGATTCTCGCTTAACGGCCAACACCAGTGACGATGATCTGAACTGGTCCTGGGCCTCCCCTAGGTCGACTCAGCCTCAAATGAGTACCTGGTGCGGCATATAACATCATCGCATATGAGGAGGCAAAGGCGGCCTGGCGTGGTGCTGGCCACCTACTACCCCTTGTGTACCCGTGCCGGCCTTCATAGGTGCTCGCTAACAGCACTTGCCCCAACAGTCTGTTAAGGCTGTAGGTGGGATCTTTGTCGTTGTCTTCATTTAGATTGCAGCGTACTCTGAGAAAACCCACCCTCGCAGAAAGGGTCACGTGCATGGAAACGTCACGGACATATTCACTGGACCGCGATCTTTGGAATTCTGAGCACCTAATGACCTCCGTGATCTAAGTCAATGAATCGGGATTACAAGACGGCAATCATCACCGCGTGCTGGCAGCTCTCACAGGCCCGTGCTGATTCACCTTGTGCCACGCAGGGACAGCTGCCACTCGGGGGGGGTGCCCTTTCGATGCTTGAGATGACATATAATGTCAATCACTTTCTAGGGGCATTTCAACGCCATTAGAAATTAAAAAAAAATGCGTATTATTACGAACTATCATACGTGGCACCAAATGATGAATGGCATTTGTATGTCACCGTGGCCCTACATGAAACATATTCTATGTTGGATGACCCTATGCCAACTGAGACACATTTGTGACCTCTTAGGATTATGTCTTGACGTCTCTTTAAGGATCTATCCTACCTGCCGACCACCACTAACTTCTGCCCTCCCGGTTGGGCACTGCTGGCGCAGTGCTGCAGCGCGCGCACTGCGGAGATCGATGATGCTCGAGTCAAGTCAAGTTTATTTTGTTAAACCAGGGTGAGAAGTCAAGAGACCAGGATAATGGAGGTCTCGTTTGCACGAGTGACCTGGGTCAACACCAACACGACAGAGGGTAATGAAAATAAATAAGTGATAGCAACGAAGCAAAGATATGCTGTGATTCTCATCGGAATCGGAATGTGTATTTACACTGCAAGAGGAATCCGATGAGCTGTGAAGCTCTTTTTAACAGAGGTCCAGCTCGGGGCACGTGGTAAGAACGTTGCAACAATAAACAATACAAAAACGTGATAGCTGCGCAAAGTACAAAAGACAAGCAAACAGATCACCCAAAACACAAACAAATACAACACGAAACCATCCCCATCCTACAAGGCAAAGCCCACTGAGGTATTAACTTACTCTTTTTGGTTCTTTCAGTAAAGTCACGTAGAATGGAAATAATAAAATAATAAAAATAAAACATAATAAAATAATTCTCACGACGTTTCGGCCACAACGCAAGCAGCCGTCCTCAGGTGGAGAACAGGTCTGTCGAGAAGACAGAGCTGTTCTCCACCTGAGGACGGCTTGCGTTGTGGCCGAAACGTCGTGAGAATTATTTTATTGTTTTATTTTTATTATTTCCATTCTACGTGACTTTACCGAAAGAACCAATAAGATGAATCCCTGCAGTCACGAAAGCTTTAAATCTAAATATTAACTTATTGTTCAGAAATGACCTGGACACAAATGATGGCTCAGCAACGTGGCTTATAATTTGGACGCTTCAGTGTGTGATACCCAACCAGGTGGCCGCACGATGGCAGTACGGCAAGTAGGATGTCGACCTCTCTTCATATATATTGCGTGAGCGCTGCGCTCTCTCCAAGTGGCCTATGCTCAAATCACCGCCGAAGCTAAGCAGCGTTTTGTGGTCGGAGATGATGAAGCTTCGAACGGGCAACTGCAGTGCGTAATTGGGCATTCATATTCGGCATGTAATGATTGATACGTCAATTAATGTTATTGTTGTTCTACATTTACACTCGCAATACACATACACGATGCTCAATTATTTATGAATATACGTTCATTACATGCTCATGTTACATTCATGGCAACGGATTTGGGAAAGAAAAAAACGATAAAGACGTAACACCAAATAAAGGAAAAGCTACGGCAAAACATGAAACAAAAATTAATATCATATTGCTCAACCGACAAACCGCGACCTGGAGTTTTAACAATTTATCGAATCCCTGAGGTGGGGGTGGGGAGGGGGGTAATGAATTGTTCCTATTGATGTGACGATGCATTGACTCCTAAATAGGAATAGATGAATACAGGCAGTCCCCGACTTATGACCATCCGCACTTACAAAACGAGCTTCCATGCGAGGCATACACATTTTTTAATCATCCCGACTTGCGAATCGGCGAACCGAACCGCGGAACCGTTTTGTTCGGCGCAGCGATCCTCCGCGAGATGCAACGAGTCCCCAGCATCCCGCGTGATGTGCAACGGCGTTGAGCGACATTGTGCTACAACGACTGCACGTGCATTCAAATACGCTCAATTATTGTTGTTCCGACTTACGAACCGTTCGACTTACGGACGGGTAAATTTCGATTTAAAGCTTTCGTGACTGCAGGGATTCATCTTCTTGGTTCTTTCTGTAAAGTCACGTAGAAGGGAAATAATAAAATAATAAAAATAAAACATAATAAAATAATTCTCACGACGTTTCGCAAGCAGCCGTCCTCAGGTCAAAAACAGGTCTATCGGGAAGACAGCGTCCATTCAGACGCGTCCATTCAGACGCTGTCTTCCCGACAGAC